ACGAAGCAGCCGTGCGTAAAATAACCAGATTTTCTCTAGCTTCACTGCTTCTCTCTTTCCTCTCTCACTCTCCTCATCCCCCCCCCTCCCTCCCTCTTCTCTCTTCCTTCCTTCCGGGCCTCAAATCCCAGCCCCAAACACACGGCCCTGCATCCCCTCACTTGATCGTAATTACACACACAGCTAGCCAGCTCCTGCACGCTGTCCTCCATTTGGGAACAAAGGTATAAATTATAGCGACTTAGATCCTAGTGGTAATGGGAGGTGGGTGGGTGCACACGTGCTCTCCAGAGGAAGAGGGAGATCACTCACTTCATGTGCCTAGTTGGGTTGTGTCTGCTGAGCTTTTGGCGTAGTTTGTTTCTGTGGCTTTGTGTTGTTTATCTGTGCCCGCCTGCCTGCGTCTCAGAGGAAACGTGGTGCTGTTGACATGGCAGAGATTTCCTGTCGTAAAGCCTGGAGGCTACAGACAGTTTAGCCCGCCAAACTTGACAGCACAGACAGGACTGCATTGAGTTGCTGTTGGCTAATCGCTCATCCTCCTTTCTTCCTTTACTGCAGACTAACACTACGCACACCAAGTGATTTGGAGTTGTGTAGATTTTTAAGATTAATTGAGATGCACAAAACCAGCAATGTCCTTATATTTAGTTTTTGTAGTTAAAAAAAAAGATAATGAAATCATCCCTCAGATCTGATCCACTAGATTCTTCATATATTTACAAGCAAGAAGAGAGAGGTCCATCATGAATGGCTGAGTCCCTGCAGGTTTTCATTCAAACAAAAGTTTATTCTAGGCAACATCAGTGACTTAACACGCCTTCATTCAGTCTGAAATCAATCTGTTATATCTATTTAAGGACAGGTAGAACTGAATATATGAAAATCCTTGACCCAAGATTACCCTTTGGGTTTTACATTTTCTCATGCTAAATAGCAAAATATTTATTAGTACAAGTTAATTACATAAACTAAAACTGTAATACGGTGATCAGCTCCATTAAAAAAATAAAAAAAGGCATGTAAAATAAATCTAGTTGCTTGTATCAGTATCAGTTAAAAAAATCACTTGTCCTGAGGCTGTACGTTGAGTGTTGCTGTTGACTGAAGGCTCATACCTTATGCACTATACAGTGAATTACTGGTTGTCACAGAGGTCATTCAGTTGCACTAACTTGGCATTGATATTCTTTGGTTTCAGCCTGGCTGAGCGAATGGCCTTGATAATTGTGATTTGACAGAGCTGCACAGTGAGTGTGAATTCCTAAGCCTAGCTGGTGATCGCCAGTTCATTTATCAAGTTGGCTAAAACAAGAGCCACTTGATGATTACTTATGGTTTCAGGTGAGGAGGAGCTTGTGTAGCTGTTAATTATGTTGTTGGAATCATGTGTCTGCCTCCAGCAGTGACAGGACCAACCCCTTTTTTTCATATTTCATTTTGTTTAAAGTGGGTGATAAAAGTGCCACCTCAAGGTCAAAGTCCTGATACAGTGTTCAGAGTTTTATTTTGGGACAAAGTTTGTTTGGAGTTGCTACACGAATGAGGAGCAAGGCTTTTTCCTGTCAGCTTCCCACGTTACTTCAACTTAGTTTCTCCAGATTTACCAGTAGACTTCTACAGCTTATAGAAATATATGATCTGAAGTGAAGATACAGACCACAGCTCCATCATTAACACTACTTGACCTCACAGTATAGCATTACTATTACTGTCTACTATAGCTACAGTCAATTGCTAATTGTTTGATTGATTTGATTGTTTTATTAACGAAAAAACATTTCTGAAACATAACTGCCAAATCGACCATGGTTCCAGGTTCTAAGATGTGAGGAATCCCTTTTCTTTGTTTAATAACAGAGCAACCTGAGAATCAATGCTTTTAACATGCATAAGGAGTGATCAGAGACAGCTTTTGATGCTTCTGTTTCACTCCACTTGTTCCTGTGGGCATGCCTTATCGCTATAATGTTGACATGTTCGCACTGATGGTAGCACTGAGTCAAAATATAAGGGCCTGTGTTGGTGTGGGTGTGTTGCTACAGTTACCAGTGAGAAGATGAAATCTGAGCGACTGAGTCCAGTGTGAAGGCTCATCAGATGCCAAGACACCACACTGCAGTTTTATGCACTTGGGGAAAAAGTTACGTACGCAGAAATTGTTATCTCCTTCTTGCTTGTGAAGTAAACAATGCCTGATTCATGCACTTGACTGTATTTAGAAAGTACAGTGCTACAGCAGAATCAATATTTTGCTTTCCGAACTTGCGGTTGTTCATGATAGTATGGAAATGGGCTCACCTACCCCAGACCACTGAACACGTGTATGTTACGACGGGGGACGAGGACGGGAATGTGGTTGGCTAAACGCCTCATCCTTTGATGAGATTTGACGTCTAAAGAGGCACACTGACCGATCACCTAATTCCCGCTGCAGTAACAGCTGGGCCTCAATGCCAAAGTGTGTGTGTGTGTGTGTGTGTGTGTGTGTGTGTGTGTG